CATCCAGCTCTACACCTTGTTATCTCTGTGAGAAATGTTGTCTGATGCACCACGTGAAGCTGCCCCACGAACCACGTTCTTGGTAAGTGATGCAGTGTAAAAGGACACTGGGCTGACCTGTGAAAGAAATCTGCTTCCATCAGGACAACTGGAGGCTAAAAGAGGATTGAACCGAACAAAAGGCTGTGCAGCACACTGGCAGCAACATCTGAGACTTCCATAAAGCCAGTGTACACCCCACAGTCTCAGCAAGACCGAGCTTCACAATGGGAGATCATTCAACTGGACAACAAGCAAACTTTCCATCTCATGGCTGTGACATTATCATGAACAAAGTGAAACAGAGGGTTTGCATAATTAGGATCAAAATGTTTTTTAATTGGCCTGTTCAGCGATGTTATGAAATACCTCTGGAGCAGGTAAGACTTGAACCCTGGTTCAGAGGTAAGGATGTCACCACTGCACGGCAGGAGCCCTGGGCGGCTAGTATTCTACGCTCAAAAAAAAAAATTGGCAACACCTGCTCAAAACCAAAGTCGATCCAGGAGCTGGTGCATTCACTGATTCTTCTCGTCAGGCTGGAGACGAGGGTGTACCTGGATCATTGGAGAAATAGAGACGAGGGTGTACCTGGATCATTGGAGAAAGGGTGGCAAGGGTGTACCTGGATCATTAGAAGTCAATGATACAACCCTCAGCTGTAAAGCTGACCGTACACAATGGAATGGCCATGCCTCATATTTACATTGATGGAATGCAGCTATTGTGAGTCTGCATAGAGACCGATGGTGTTTTACTGGGTGAACAAGAGTGGAACCACCAGAGCAGGACTGGCCATGTGTACACAGTGTGTGACTATTCAGGAGATCACCAAGACACCAATTGTGACAGATTGGCCAGAAATAATTGCCTTGAGTCAGCCCAGGATGTAGAACAATTGTACTTGGACAGGTTTGATACCAAAGGAAATCTCAAAAGTGATACAGCAATGCACCTCAAAGAGGATGGAATTCTACTAACGGACCTTCCCAGAATGTACGGTGTTCCCCAGAGTTTCAGAAATGAGCTGGACAGTATGAAATGTAATGAAACATTTGGAAATTACTGGAAAATTTCAGCAGGTCTGGCAGCATCTGCGGAGAGAAATCCAATTTAATGTTTCAGGTCCAGTGACTTTGTTTGTTTGTTTGTGGTCAAATCCCACTGTTCCAAAAAACAATCTACAGGCAGACCCTTTTTAAGGATGGACATGTCAAATGAGACATGAACCATGTGACAGCCTCACCACATTACCTCTGATTTGACGGTCTTGCCGAGTGTGTAGTTCATGCTGTTAAAGCATTTAATCATGATGTGCAGGGCAATGAACTGGGATTTTTACATTCTGACGTTACACTGAAGATTAATGCACCTGGACATGGGCTTCCTGTTGCCTTCCACATAATCTCTGCTGGCAATCTAGGCCATCACCTGACCAAACTCCCCAAAATCCAGAGTAACCTTGAAAACAAAAGCGAATGAGTGGTACACGACAGACTCACAGGGATAGAGTTGCTCAGATGCGTGTATGTCAGATGGCCGGAGCCAGATATTCCACCTAGGGTTATAACAACACCTGGTGGAGCCATGTTTGAGGAGGAACAGAAGTAACCTTGGGGAACTGTAAAGAACACTAATAGCGCATAAAGCGCCCAAAGATAAACTCAGAGTTGAGGTGTGAAAGATAATTGTGAAAAAAATAACACTCATTAACGAAGTGTAAGATGCCAACACACCCACCAGCCGAAAACACAGATGTGAGAAGTCTCAAGCTCAGCAAAATGATACCACCATGACATCTGGGAGGTTATATCACCTCCTAGGCCATTAAACCCTTAAATTCTACAATTCCTATTTCTGTGCAATTAGTTTTGCAACAACCCTAAATGTACGTGCATTTCCACTCTTAATGCATGTAATTTTATCTTTCGGAGGAAAGGGAATGTTGTGATTTCATTTTAAGAGCTAACCAGCAGGTGATCAGCATGTAGGTTACAGCATACAAGTGGAAAGGTGTGTATGAGCAAACCTGTATTGGATCTTCAAATAAACAGAACCTACATCTATTTCCCAGTCCTGGTGTGAGATTGGTGACTTTGTGTTAGGATTAGAACAAAAATTCAAAAACAACCAATCCTGAGTTTACTTTGTGCTAGCATCTTCAATGTTAGTGAGAACTGGTTCTGTTCCTTCTGAACAATTCAGCTGTTTGAGTATGAGAATTGTTAGGAAAAAGGCCCTCCCTTTTTGTTTGATGGATCTCTACCTTGTGTGTTTTCTCACCCTGTCCTTTAATTCCCACAAAATAAACTACTGTCTGGAATGTGTCAGTTTGACCCATCGTACCCCGGTAATGCTCTCGTGCATCCTCTTCCATCAGGCAGAAGATACAGAAACCTGAACATACTCACCAGCAGGTTCAGGAATGGCTTCTTCCCAGCCGTTATTAGACTGATGAATGGACTCTCTAGCCTCAAATAACACTGATCTTGCTAACATCGATCTCGCTTAGTGCACACGCCCTGTGCAATGTAACCCGTATACATCTTTCTAAGTCTTTTTACAACCTTTGATCTGTACATCCTTGCTTAGTATGATCTGCCTGTACTGCTCATAAACAAAGCTTTTCACTGTACTCTGGAACGTGTGACTGTAAAATCAATCAATCTTGTTGCTGAGCCACACGGCTGTGGGTTCATGCCCTGGTTCAGGGACTGAGCCTATAATCCTGGCTAGTCGTCCCCATGTGACCCCGAGGGGAATGCTGCTCTGTTGGAGCTATCGTCACTCAGAAGTATATTCTCCTCGGGTCCTGCTTGCTCTGTCAAGTGGACGTAAATGATCCTGTGGCCATTATTTGAAGGAATAGCAAGTGAGTTTTCCCCAGTGATCTGGAATCCAATATTAACCCCATAACCAATATTACAAAAACAAATTGATTACCTGGCTGTTTATCTTGTACACAGCAAGCTCCCATAGCTGTAATTAGGTCCCTGCCATTCTACCTTAAAGTATGGGCTACACTTCAACGTGGACTTCATTGGGTGTAAAACCCTTTCTGGGATGTCCTGAAGGTGTGAAAGATGTGGCAATAAGGCTTTTCTCTTCCTTGCAATTTATGTTTAAATCTCTCAACAGTTTGTTAGAAACTTCAGTCTGTGATCAGCTGTGACGACCTCTGTATATTTTTGGTAAACTAGTTGTTCTCCTTGTTCCCATCAGACTAGGTCTGTCAGCCCATCGAGTCTGTCCCCTTCAGCCAATCAGAATCCTGTTGATGAAGCAGCCTCTGCACGTTCCTTCCAGAATCGAACCATGACTCCAGCCTCGAGTGTGTGTATGTGCTCAGTCAGACTCCGTTCGCGTTTGGGAAAGTCCAGGAGGTTGCCATGTTTCCAGTATGTCTCAGAGTCCAAAAGGTCCCAGTCCCACGCCACCAATCTAAGCCCATATTCCAGGATGAGACTCCCACTGTGGGAGAGCTGTACTGTCAGAGATACCTTCGTTTGTTTTGGAAGGAACATTAAATCTGCTCTCATAGCCATGTATATTATTCAAAGATAGGCAGGGGAGGACCCTCTGGTGCCCCTGGCCAATATCTTTCCCTCAACCAACGTCTAAAACAGATTGTGGTTATTATCATTTTTTTTTGTGGGAACTTAGGGTACACAAGTGGACTGCTTCATTTCCAACATTACAGCAGTAATGTACTTCTAAAGTAATTCTGCTTTTGCTAAATGCTTTGGGATATTCTGAGGTTTGATAGCTGCATTCCGAAATGCAAGCCTTTCTTTCACAGTTGGTATTGATCTATGAGATGGGGCCAATTAGTGGCTCAGTGATCAGTGACTCACTGCATCTACTCTAACCTCAAGTCAGGGGTTTCCAGAATCCCCCTCAAATTTATTGTTGATCTCTTTGAGCACTTTGTGGGCGTGTGCCAATTGAGATTAAGCTTTCTCACACAGCGAGTTCTTAGAATATAGAAAGCGCTTCATTGAGCTTCTTAGAACTATTGAATTTTATAGTGTAGAAGGAGACCATTCAGCCCATTTGTGTCTGGACTGGTTCTAAAAAGAACTACCCAGTTAGTCCCATCCACCAGTACTATCTCTCTAACCCTCTAACTTCATCGCTTTCCAGCTCTCTTTGGAAACCTCCTGTGGAATCTGCCTCCACCGCCATTCCCACAACATGCAGAACCAACGTAGTTTACAAAAATACCATGCAACGACTGCCACAAACATTACATTGGACAGACAGGAAGGAAAATAACCATCAGAATACATGAACATCACCTAGCAGCAAAATGGCACAATGAACTCTCCTTAATATCTGTACATTCAGACAACGAAGACCATCAATTTAACTGGGACAAGGTAACCATAGTAGCCCAAGCCAAACATAGATACACGGGAATTCCTAGAGGCATGGTTCTCAACCTATAATGCAATCAACAAACACATAGAATTGGACCCCATATAGAAACCCATACAGATCAAAGCTGGAAATGACAGTACTCACCATAACGGACCAAGCAGAATAGAATAACATCGCTTCATCGGAGGCTCCACTGATGATGTCACCTAGCATGGTGACGAAACAAGTGAATCAAAACAAGACAGCTCAGCGGGCAAGTCAACAGCCTCACCCACAACCCGAGCTACAGATCTTTGCCAATACCTCCTTTACCCTGTCAAAATTGTCCGTAATTTTGAACATCTCAATAAGGTCACCTCTTAATCTGCTCCACACCAAGGAGAATAAGCCCAATTTCTCTAACCTTTCCTTGTATCTAAAATCCTTCATTCCTGGTATAATTCTGGTAAATCTCCTTTGAACTGTCTCCAGAGCTTTAACATTCCTTAAATAAGGTGCCCAGAACTAAACACAATGTTACAAATGTGGACTGACCTATGATTTGTAGAGGTGTAGCATGTGACAGGGTGGGGTGGATCCCAAAATGGATTTAGCAATAAGAATCCAACTAGATAGTTTAAGGATACGGGGTAAACCGTTTAGGACTGAGATGAGGAGAAATGCCTTCACCCAGAGGGTAGGAAGCCTATGGAATTCTCTGCCACATAAAGCGGTTGAGGCCAAAATATTGAGTGTTTTCAAGAAGGAGTTGGATATAGCTTTTGTGACTAAAGGGATTGAGGGATATGGGGAGAGGGTGGATTCAGGTATTGAGCTTGAGGATCAGCCATGATCATATGGAATGGTAGAACAAGCTTGATGGTTTTTGTTTTGGAAAGCCTTCCTGAAGGTAATAACACTGCTACTTTGTTTCTACACTCAGGTATTTCCCGAGGACCAAGCCCAGTGACTGTAGGCAGCCATGACACCTTGCCCATTGCAGCTGCTTTCACAGAATGTATCGATGCCTACTTCAGGGGTGGAGAGTTTGCAAAGTGAGTGTGATTATCAGCTACGGAAAACTCCATTAACTGTCAGCAGGAACTGATCCAGAGCCTAGAATCTCAAAAAGTGATGTTTTTAATCATTACAGACATTAGTCCTCTTTACAAACATTGGGCTTTCTTAAATCAAACGAAAAATAAATGTAGGTGCCAACCATGGTGAATGGGGAGTGCCCACCCTCTCCCACCTCAGAGTCCAAAGGTTGTGGGATTGAGTTTCCCTCCAGGGATTCAAGCCACATAATTGACATTGACCCGCTTGGGCTTATTCTCCTTGGCGTGGAGCAGATTAAGAGGTGACCTTATTGAGATGTTCAAAATTACGGACAATTTTGACAGGGTAAAGGAGGTATTGGCAAAGATCTGTAGCTCGGGTTGTGTGTGCCGATACTGAGGATGTGCTGTACTGTCAAAGGCACCATCGCTCAGCTGAGGCATTAAGCAATGGCCCTGTCTGTCCTCTCGGGCAGATGTGAAAGATTCCACCAGGACTATTTTGAAGAAGAGCAGGAGATTCCTTTCCAATGTATTGGTTAATATTTATCCCTCAACCAATACGTAAAGCCAATAACCTGGTCCTTTCCCCATTGCTGTTTGTGGGATCCTGCTGTGTGCAAACTGGCCACCTTGTTTCAGAGGCAACTACACTTGGTGAAAATTAGGATATCCTGAGCTCGTGGAAGATGCTATAGGAATGCAAATACTTTCCTTTTCCTTTGTTGCATGTTGGCTTTGAACACAGAAATCATAATATTAACAAATCTGGGTAAGATATAACAATGGGTCCAGTTTGAGATGGGAAGCATTTGTTCAATGTTAATTTATCTTCTCTATATGATCTGCTGCCTGATGCTGAACCAGTAACTTTGCTTTTATTGTGTTGGTTTATCAAAATAATGTGCATTGATGTAGCACCTTCATGATAGTAAAAGATCCCAGGGGGTAGCTCAGGGAAAGATTTTAAAATAAAATTGATACTGAGCCAGCTCAGGAGATATTAGGGCAGGTCATCAAAGTCTTGCTCGGACGTAGATTCTGAAAAACATTTTAAAGGGGGAGAGGGGGGGTGGGTTAATGAGGGAATCAAGAGCCTAGGGCCCAGGCAGCTAAAGGCCCAGTCACCAACAGAGGAGCAATCAGGGATGCTCAAGAGGCCAGAATGCAAAGAGTGCAGGGTCTGGAGAGAATTACAAGACAGGAGAAGGCTATAGAATAAAGAAACATGAAGCTGTGATGAGATTTGATAATGTGATTGTAAATTGTAAAATTAAGACAGTCAAAGTGGCCACCACTACATGTCAGTACACAACAGGTGACTGGGACCTGGTACAAATTAGATTCGGGACAGCAGAGTTTAAGAGGAGACGATGTGAATTAGGGGGTGGCTAGCAGTCTGGATAAGGATTGCCATGTGACCAGTAACAAGGGACCTGCATCCTGTTGATTCCCAGCTTCTGGAATCCTGTAGCTTTGTTGCAGCGTGTGTGTGTGTGTGTGTTCTCTATTGGGATTGGTGAAGTTTTCCTTCTATTGCAGTGCAATTGTGAAGCTGACTGGAGATCTGACCATGTCCTTCCCAGCGGGAATTGTTCGGATCTTCAGCGGGAATCCTTCGCCAGCTGTCATCAGCTTCAGGATTTTGAATGCTAACCACATTACGCAGTTTCTGTCCAATTCTCAACTACTGTACAGGTCAGCCACCAGAAGATCATGTTCACAAAACAGGGGACTCAATTAATCTCTGTTTTTGTTTTATTTTCAAGAAGATGGAATTATTGCCTATGTCCAGGCAAGGGAGGGGTTCGTGACTGTGTGAGTTAGACCGGGTGAGGGATAGGATCAAGGGGATTGCAGCCTCTTCTCTAAATAAGAGAAGTTGGACAATAACCTGCTGTATTTTGAGAAAATGTTCCCCGTGTTGTGAGGGAGCAGAACTGCAGGTCATTTATTAAATACATCCATGAGAATGCTAGGCAGCATTTATTACCCATCCCTAATTACCCAGAGGGCAGTTCAGAGTCAACCATGTTGCTGTGGGTCTGGAGTCACATGTAGGCCAGACCAGGTAAGGATGGCAGTTTCCTTCCCTAAAGGATATTAGTGAACCAGATGGATTTTTCAAACATTTGGCTTTATTTTCATGGTTATCATCAGACTCTTTGAATTCAATAAGTATCTGGAATTAATTTGCAGCATCTGCCACGGCAGGAGTTGAACCTGGGTCTGCAAAACATTGCCTACGACTCTAGATTAATATTCTTGTGACTAATACCACCAGGCCATTGCATCCCACTGCATATAAATATCAATGTTAAACATTCGGAATAATTCCAATCAGGAATTCGGGTGAATCCTATCAAAGAGTGTGGAATGTGTAGGAGTGGCTCCCACAGGGAATGGTTAAGGTGAATAATTCCAATAGATTGGAGGATAAGCTGGGTGAACGCACAAGGGAGAGAGAGGAAGCAAAGGAAATGTTGACAGGTCCATGTATTTGGTCAAGATGGCATAATAGAAGGCTTGTTTGAAGTAGGAAGTCTAGCATGGTCCAGTTGGGCTGAATGGCCTGTTTGTGCTATAAATCTTGTGTTCTAAAACAAAGTTAGTAAAATAGTGGACTTTATCTCAAAGTAGCTGGGATACCGAGGGGCCAGAAGTGATGCTGTAGTTGCACAGATACTTGGTCAGACACTCTGGGGGCTCTGTTCAGATTCACCACCGTGGAACTGGGCTTAAATGAGGAGGACAGTTCACACAAAACACCTTGTGTTTCTTGGGATTTATGAAGTTGAGCAGGAATCTAAATCAGGTGTTGAAAATGATAAAGGAATGGTTAATGGGGAGCAGTGCTTTCCTCTGAGGGCAGGGTGATGTGGGGGAGGGGGAGCGGGAATTGGCCAGAACTAGGTTTAAGGCCAGGCTGAAGTGAAATGACATGGGAATCTAGAAGCTTCTCTCCTGAAAAGCTGTTAATGCTAGAGGTCAGATGGAGCATTCGAGACCAGGATTGATTGGTTGGTTTCTGTTGGGATGAGACATCAAGGGGAAACAGAGTAGCTGGGGCTGGATGGAACTGCTTACAACAGCCGGCATCTCTCTCTGAATTTCTGAACCGACTCAAGTCTCAATGGGCTACTCCTGCTCTGAAACCGAACCAAATATCAAGACAAGGTGGTGTCCACTGGATGGTGTGTACAAGTCAGAGGATTTGTGTGGGAGGATCTGTCACAAGGAAAGGAGTGAGTGTCAGGGCTGGCCTCTTTGCTCAGTGAGGGGTAAAGACAGCCTCAGGAAGTCTCCAGGAATGGTGAAGGTTCTTGAAGATTGAGGGGGTGGTAGGTCCTGCAGATGCTGTTTCTGCTGGAGTTGTGACATAGGGCTCTGATCCGGCTGGCTTGGAATCTAACCACTGCCTCTGTCTCTCTGGGCAGTGATCTATCACAGAGTGACTCTGATGTGAAAGATTTCTGGTTGAACATGTCTGCAGTCACAGCCCAGCTACAGAAACAAGCCAAGCAGAATCCTAGTGCCTCCTACTTCAACATCAGCCTCCTCAAATACCAGGTACGGAGAAGGGAAGCACTGTTGAAATAGAATTTTAACTTATGTAGCACCTATCACACTGCAGAGCTCCTCATACACAATGGCTTATTGCAGAATGAATAGGTTAAGGTACAGTTTGGTCCCAAACAAATAGAATCATGGAGCAGGTTTGAAAGACTGAATGGCCTCCTGTTCCTATGGTTATGTAGATAAGCAGCACAGCAGGATCCCAGTAACATCAGTCAGCTGTCTGGCCAGTTTTTTTAATCCTGCACGTTACTGACAAGGCTATCATTTGTCTAAAAGCCCCAGTTTCACCCATTGGCTCACTGTGGGTGGACGGTGTGGAGGGGATGGAGGTTTGTGTGTCTGATCGATGGGGTTTGGAGTCACGTATAGACCCAAACAGAATAAAGGCAACAAGTTTCCTTCCTAAATGAACCAGTTTGGTTTTGAGATGAACTGCCAGTTTTGGTTTTTGCTGAGAGTGGATGTTATATCAATTACATTGCCTATAGCATTATCGCCCACCACCTCCTGCCCCACACAGTTACTAGAAACAGTGAACTGAAACCAATGTATCCTTCATGTGTTTTGATCCCAAGACATGATGGGCTGAATAGCCTCTACCTGTGCTCTCAAAGTTTCCTGCATCCCCAGTGGGTCCAAGAGGAGTGGAAGGAAGGATTAGGGGTGGGGCAGGAGGGGGTTTGTGTGAGGGGCTCTGGGTCGATGTGGTGTGCAGCAGTTCCGAGCCCTGGTCATGAGTTCATTCTGGTGTCTGTGTGTGTGTGTGTCTGCATGGCTGTCTCTGTGTATATTTTGTAGGTTTCTGCTCTGGACTGTCCAGCTGTTCCTCTGAAAGTCGCTGCTCGCTGGAAATGTGAGTCCGGTTACACAGAGGTCACCCTAGATTATGAGTCTGACCCAGGCAGCACAGTGAAGGAGCTGAGAAACCTGCAGACCCTGCTACCGCTGGAAGGAGCTGTCAGTAACATCCAGTCCCAGCCCACTGCTGTCTGGTGAGACCCAGAAACGCTCGAGCTGGGGAGGGAACTGGCTACTGGGAGTTGGGGGGCTGTGGGTAGGGGGTGCTGGGAGAGTAGCCAATACATTTGTCAGGTTGTGATATTGTCCGATGTTGGGAGGACTGAGCCCCTCTCTCCTTTCACCAAGAGATCATCTCTCTTTCCTCCCCGCCTCACTTCTTCTCCCTCCCTGCACTCCCCACTTCACCCCCCCGCTCCCCCCCATCCTCCCCATAGCTGAACACAAGAACACACCTATCCCTGGTGGCACATTACTACAACAACAACACCCTGTATTACTGCAGCGCCTGTAACTTCATGAAGCACCTGGGGAGGTGTTAAGTCAAATCAGACACTGAGGCTCATGAGGATTTATTGGGGCAAGTGCTGGAAGGTTTAAAGCTGCTTTGAACCAAGGGTTAGAGGCCTGGCAGCTGCCTGTTGTGGGGGTGAGGGGTGCAGGAACCCAGATACTGTGGCTAACAAGGTGCTGACCCTCTCCTTCTCTTCCTGAAGGAACTCCAAACAGAAGAGGCTGTGCTGGAACCTTCCGGATATCTGTAGCCAGTCAGGACCTGAAGGTAACTCATGTTGAAAGGTACAGGGCAGCCCTAGCACCTTCTTTTTTAAGCTTTATGGGGGCCTGGGCAATTATTTAACCCTTTGCCTCTGCCCCTCCACACACCACTCCGCCCCCAACCCCAGTCCCACCATCATGAGTGGGAGAATCTTCCTTCCTTCCTTCCTTCCTTCCTTCTGGTTCTGGCTCCCACCTGCTGTCTGTCTGAGACTATCCACATGCTGGAGAGCAACTAGTGGGAGGCCACTCTCGGGGGATTTGCCCCCAACCCTACCCTCCTATCCTGTGTCCCCCTCTCCCTGTCCCCTCCCCCTCTCCTCCTCTCCTACTCCCTTTCCCTCCCTAACTCCTCTTTCCCCCTGTCCCTGTCCCCTCTCCCTCCCTACCCTATCCCCTCTCCTCCTCTCCCTCCCTATCCCCTCTGCCTCACGTATCCTGCAGAGAGGGGGATGAGAGCCCTCATTCTGGGTGTGTTGGCATCCCTGGCTATGTTGTCCTTTCTTTATTATCCATCCCTGGTTTCCCTGAGGAAGCAGCCAGCTCTTTCCCCACTGTTTGTTTGAAGAGTTTCTTCATTCAAAGATCCCAGTCACCACCTCATTCCCATAGAGTAAATTCACTCCCTACTGCTGCTCCTGCTTTGAGAGTTCACTCACACAATCTCAAGAGACCTGAGACTGGAGAGGACGGGGTATGTAGCCTTTAAACAATAAATTTTACTCTCCCTTCCCAGTACACCAACAGGTGAGGTGCTCTGACTCTTGCTCTGTGTTGTGTGTGTCTTTCTCTCTGTCTGTCTTTCTGACTTTTGCTTGCTCTCTCTGTATGTCTCTTTCTGTTTTTCTCTGTTCCCCTCTTTGTCTGTGTGGCCATCACTTTCTCTCTTTAGTCCTTTCCCTCTTTCTCTGTCTAACTCTCTCTTTGTCTGTCTCTTTCTCTGACTGTCTCTATTTCTATTTCTATGTCTCTGTCTCTGTCTCTGTCTCTGTCTGTCTGTCTATCTCCCTCTCCCTCCCTCCTTCTCTCTCTCTGTTTCTCTGTCTCTCTGTTTTATCTGTCTAACTGTCTCTCTCTTTCTCGCTCCCCCTGGCTTCCGCAGGGAGAGGATCACTTTCTGCGAGCTGGGAAGTGTCTAATGGCCCAAGTAAACCCTCCCCCGTGGCCCTGCAGTTTACAAGTGAAGGGAACACGATGTCAGGAGCTGATATCTGTCTGGTGGGGGCTGGATACAGACTCTCTCTGGTAAAGAAGAAATTAGTTACAGGTAAGATTCCACGTGCTCCAAGTGACTGAAATCGAGGGCACATCTGTGAATCAGTGACACTGACTCACTGTGTTCTGATGCTTGTGAGCAATTAAGAGTTGCTGAATCACTTTGTCTTTCACCATGACCAATTAGTGAGCTCAATAATTCTGTGTTTTGCTTTTTCTACTTAGGCAAGTACTTTGCAGGATGCTATTGAGGAGTTTTCCCACTGGATGAAGATTTGTGTGTGCACTCGACTTGCTGTCCATCTGGGAACTGTTTGAGAGATTGCACTATTTTGAGTGGTTATGGACCCTGACATATCTAACAGTTTACCTCAATCACTTTCTGATTTGGTCTGTGATTTTTTTTAAAGTCTTGGCATTCAGCATGTTTCTGTTCCTAAATGGAAAATCTTTCAACCAAACTCCACCTGTATAGTAAGAGTTTGAATTTCAGTGTTCCCATTCCAAATTTCATTGTAGGTCAGTCTTGGTGCTTGCCCCATGCAACTTACAGCTGGAAAGAGAGGAGCAATATAAATGCTCTTATTCACAATATGCAGTGTTTCCCTGAACCATTCTCTCCTGTATTTATTGCACTTTGGAACGAATGGTTCTGACTCTGTTAACCTCTGGCTGTTCCAGCAGAGTTCAGGGGTAATGAGAGTTCCTGCGATCGTTCTGTTTCATGAAAGATACAATGTCGGGAATTTTGTGTTTTATCTTTTTGTAGTTGGCTGGAGCTCAGTGACCGTAAATGTGACTGTGTCAGCATCAGTGACCTGCTCGAAACCAGTGAATAGGAATGAGACTCTGAGACACGCCTCCCCCTTTAGGGTGACGAGATTTCTAGGGGGGCTCATCCTGAGATGTAGTGGTTTTGGGGATTAACCTATTTGAAGCTTTTTTTTAAAACTCCAGACAAGATGTTTTAAACCATGGCAGCATTAGAGTGAGGTCTGAAACTACAGGAAGATGATGAGATTAATCTCCTTCATGGTTCCATTTTAATTTTCGGAATCCCCTATGAATTTTCTCTTTTCTTTTGTTATGAGGAGATTTAATATATGAATTGCTGAAGACTCCGGGGCAATCTTGGAGATTTGGCACCGAATGCTCCTTGCTTTACGAGCAGTGATTGGGTGAATGTCATTTTCGACTCCAGGAGCTAGGAATTCTGGATGTAACAAATTTGGACTCTCAGTGGATTCAGTTGTGGGTGGTTTTGATGTCTTTAAAGCAGTGTCAATTCAAATTGAGGTATTGTATCCAGACATAATGAATTTAAGCTCATTGGGTTTTGTGTGACACGCTGATAGTCCAGTTTGTTTCTGTGCCAGACTGAGGGAAGGAGGACTAGCAGATCCAGATTGGCCACTGGTCTGACCTGGGTCACAAGCTGATGGAGACCATCTGTTTGAACTCCTCTTCGTCTGTAACCCATTGACATAATTGCCTGGGGTTTATCATCCTGTCACTGTTTCCAGAAGGTCTGCCAGACTACACAGAACCTTTTGGTCAACATCAGATCCTAGGGTGATGTCTGAATAGTTGAAGAGCCCCATTACTGTGCCACGTGGTCAATGAATGGCCACTGGCAGCAAAATCCTCGGGAAACGAGTTAGTATCTGAGCTTCAGTGAGAGTCAGCCCCTTGAGGAGAAGAAAGGGAACCCCATACCCCAGTGAGAGTCAGCCCCTTCAGGAGAGGGAGGGGGACCCCGTACCGCAGTGAGAGTCAGCACCTTCAGGATAGGAAATGAAAAATAAATTATTTTTATAGAAGATTTGCTCAGTAAAAGCTGTCAGATTCTCAGGCCTAGGTGCTGTCACTCCTAAAGATTTTAACTGTCTTCTAGTGTTTAATCTCTATTCTCTAAATTGTTGAAGATGTACAGCTAGGAATGTTTACACGTTGAGACTGAATTTCTGACTTGTCAATTTAAGCGTCTGGAATAATTGTCTCACAAGGGTCTTGGATTTGTTATTGGGTGAATTTTGGGGTGTTATTGGGTTGCAGTTGTCGCCTGTGAAAGTGAGGATTCTAGTCATTCTTGTTCAGTGTGAATGGGACAAACTGTGGGTGTGAAGGAGTTGTCAAGCTTTCAGATTTGAAGCTTCATCTCCTGACTGTCTCCAGGCAATGTACAGAAAACTCACCTCAATAGGCTCAATGAGAGAGAGAACTGAATGCTGTTGTGATGGAGATCTTGCAAAAGGGATCTGGACAATCAAGAATGATCTGATTTGGATAATGAAGGGACAGCTTGCTTTCTAATGGGTCACGGGGTAGGAGCAGCATTCCTATTGGGAAGTCTCGTGGCAAATCACTGAAGGGGAAGGGAGATTGGCAGGTCATGTGATGAAACCACCAGGATTGTCTAAGCAAAGTTGGCATTCCCAATTTGGACAAATGGTCTATATTATTCCTAGAGGCTGCCTTGAAAGTATTTGAAGGTGCTTACTGAAGTTAAGATTTCAGTTCCTGGTTTTATTGACCAAGGGACAACTGGGGCTTGAGGTCAGGCAGAATATCTGATGGAGCTGGAGCTGGAGCTGGAGCTCTGAGATGGGAGGGAGTCAATGCAGGCCCCTTGCCCTGCCAACGTGTACTCGGGCTGGGACACTCTTCATGCTGGGCTTGCCAACTCTCACCTGATGAGTTCCTGGAGATTGAATCATGTGACTCCCATCTCAAAACCTGACCACCCCCCACCCAAATAAAAGTTGGTCCATCTTCCAGCCACCATGATCTGATTGGATGAATCTGCACCATCAGTAAAGCTAAGACTTTTTTCCCAAATCATGATATCTTTGTATTTGATTTTGATCAAAAGAAAATGTGCAATATTTGAATTTAGCTGTGAACTCTTTTGATTCCAGAGTTTTTAAGTCCTCAAATAATCTTCAATTCCTCTGGACTCCAGGCCAGACTTGGAGGGTCAGTAACTTTAGCAGTGGGGGAGATTTGTTTTATTTTACAACATACCCTGCCTGAGGCATAATTTATACTTTGCCCTGATATTTTGTTTGTAATATTGTCTGGAAAGTATCTAAGATAATGTGTCAGGGTCAGGGATGTTTTTCAAATAGACACTTCAACCCAATTAATGATACAACATGGGATCAATGTTGCTGGGAGACTTTGGGGTGATTTAGTTCCTAGCCCCATGCCTACCTAGAAGGTTTTACTTACATAAAACCTTTGATCATTCTTGGAAATAGAATCAAGGGTATGATAACTCCCACTTGTATCAATCTGGGTGACTGTTCAGGAGCTGGGTTTATGGATGTGAGAACATTGCTGTCCCCATTATACATTGTGTTTGGTGTGTTCCTTGCCCTAGACACACTGCCTTTTACAGTTTCATTGACAAAATGTTTTCCTACAATTTACAAAATGGCAAATGAGCTTTGTTGTGATGTCATTACAAAGTTGCTGTAATCTGAGAGAATTTACAACAACAATAACAGGGAAATGTTCCAGCTGTAATATGTGATTTCACCCTCGCATCTAGTGTTATTGGATGGTCTGGAACCTCAGAGAGAGAACTTTGATTTATATAATTATTAAATGTATATACATGTGAAAACTAGCCAGGTCTTCTTATGTGAATTAACCTTCATTTTGGGGTGTGTTTAATTTTTTGCTTTTCCATTTCTCACTGTACCAACAGACTCCCTCAGCCCCCCTCCCCTCCCCACCCCACCTCAACCTCTCTTCCCCACCCTGAGAAATCCAGCTGGGCTTGGGGGCTGGAGGTTTGAGATTCTGAAGGGTCCTCCTTCTGTGTGAACACTGATGATGATGGTCAGCCTCCTATGATGAGGTCTAGCCTGTACACTGAACCAAGCAATAAACAAAACCTAACAGCAAAGCAGCACTGGCTTCAGTGGTTTTCATTTTAGAGACAGGAGCCTGACAAAGAGCAGGAAAGAATCCTACAGTGTGCCTGTGTGAACTCTCTGCGAAATCTGTGCTGTTTCTAGTCCCACTTTGTCCCTGTTTTCTCCACTCGCTTCAAGGACATGCACAAATCATCTTTTTGAAAATACCAATGGAATTAAATTCCACTGATCTTAACCACCTGTTGGAATAGAATCCCTCCAGTGTGGAAGCAGTCCATTCGGCCCATCGAATCCACACCAACCCTCCGAGGAACATGCCTCCCAGACCCAACCCCCACCCCCCCCACAACCCTATCCCTGTAACCCTGTATTTCCCATGGCTAATCCACTTAGCTGCACGTCCCTGCATACTGTGTGTAATTTAGCATGGCCAATCTACCTATCCTGTACATCTTTAGACTGTGAAAGGAAACCAGGGGAAACCCACGCAGACATGGCGAGAATGTGAGGCTGGATTCGAACCCCGGTCTCTGCTTGACTCCTTAGCCTGAAGCAATGAGCTGTAGTTCTACAGCCAGGGATTGATACATTTTTTAAAATTCGCTTCTGGGTTGTGGGCATCTTTGGTAAGCCCAGCATTTATTGCCTGTCCCTAGTTGCCCCTTGAGAAGGTGGTGGTGAGTTGAACCGCTGCAGTCCACCTGCTGTAGGTTGACCCACCATGACATTAGGGAGGGAATTCCAGCATTTTGACAGAATTTTAAAAAAAAACATTTTTTGTTTCTTTTACCAAGCACTCTGAATCTGTGCCCTCTCATCGTCTGGCATTTCTTGAGAGAATGCTTTCCTCCAATTTACTCCTCCCACACCCCTCGTGGTGAGTAGTTTAATCAGATCACCCTGTTTTCACTGAAGAAGGAAAGACAGTCCCAGCTTCTCCAAGCCTTTAACTTAAGTTCTTTTTATCCTTAGAACCATTCTCCTCAATGTTTTCTGCATTCTTTCCAATGCCTTCACATCCTTCTCAGAGCTGGATATATTACACTAACTGAGGCTGAACTTGTTTCTTATCTAGAGTCTGACAGAACACAAGAGGTTCATCAACCCATTGAGTCTGTGCTGACAAATAACTACTCTTAAATCTACACTCATCCCAGTTTCCTGCATGAGGGCTATTGCCTTGAATATTATGACACTTCAAGTCCTGGTCCAAGTACCTTTTTAAATTTGTCAGGTTTCCCACTTCAACTCCCCTCCCAGGCAGTGTATTTCAGACCCCCACTACCCTCTGGGTTAAAAGGCACTTCCTCAAATCTCCTCTTAAACCTCCTGCCTTTCACTTTAAAACTATGACCCTCATAATGACCCTTCGACTAAGGGAACAGCTGTTTTCGATATAACCTATTCATGCCCCTCATAGTATTACATACCTGTATCAGGGATCCCCTCGCCCTTCTCAGCTCTAAAGAAAATAAACTGAGTTTATCCAGCCTCTCGCCATCCCAGACGACATCTGGTGAATTTACTCCCTGTCAGTGACTTATGTAAATATTTCACCAGGTTTCTCTGGTCTTGCACAGCCTTTAGAGTAATACTGTAAAGACTGTCTTTCTGTTTGTGTTTTTTAAAAGTTGTGGACTGAAATGAGGAAGAACCGTTTTTAAAGTGTTTTAAAAATATTCCTCTATAGCTTGACAGCCTGACATTCATGGAGAATTGTGAGCTGTTTGAACAAGCAGTAATTTAAGTGTTTGCAGACCAGCAGGAACTCAGGAATTCTGCATTCAGATGCAGCTCTGGATGGCAGTAATTTGATTGACAACTGGTCACTTAGTCCATCGACCAATGACAAAGGCCTTTTGCCTGCCTACAGCCATGTAATTGGTTGGCAGGTAATTGAACAGCTTGGAGCTGGGACCAGGATACTGTGAAGGGATTTGATTTCCACCAGCCCAGGGGCGGTCTCTCTGTTCTCTGCAGTCAAAACTCACTTCAAACTTGAAGAGAACCAGTTCCTCATTCCTTCAGTAATTGCTGGGAGCTGTGACTCATAATTAGTACATCAGAGATATTTTGCAATTGAACCAAGCACACTCTGTCTTTTACAAACCAGAGGAAGCATTTAGAAAAGGGAGGCCAGTAAGAAACTTTCGAACCAGCAGGAAAAACAGAATAACAGAAATGTTACAGCATCAAAGGAGGCTATTCAGTCCATCATGGCTGAACCTGTTGGATTACCTAGTTTCATTCTCCCAATCCTTACACACTATTTCTATTCAATGCCTTCCTGAATGCCTTAATTCAAGCTGCCTCTATCACATTTCCAGTGTATTCTAGGCCCCAAGTACTCGCTGTACGAAAAAGTCATTTTTACATCATCCTTGCTTCATTTGCACATCACTTTCCTTCTATGCACTCTCATTGCTTTTTCCTTTTACAGCAGGATCAGCTGCTCCCTCTACTCTTTCAGCCCACTCATGATTTTGAAAACCTCTATCAAATCTCCTCAAACGTCTTCTCTCCAAAGAGAACAGTTCAAATTTTTCAATCTATCCTCATCACTGAATATTCTTATCCTTGGAACTGTTCTTCTAAAGCACTTCTGCACTCCATCCAATGCATTCATATCTTTCCAATAACATTGCGCCCACAACTGTACACAAGCCTCCAGCTGAGGTCTAACAAGTGACTTGTACAAGCTCAACGTCATCTCCCTGCTGTCGTACCCTGTGCCCCTATTAATAAAGCCGAGAACATTGTACACTTTATTAACATTTAACGGTAAGGTCCTGGAGAGTGTTGCTGAACAAAGAGACCTTTGAGTGCAAGTTCATTGTTTCTTGAATGTGGAGTCGCAGGTAGACAGGATAGTGAAGAAGGCATTTAGTACGCTTTATTGGTCAGTGCATTGAGTATAGGAGTTGGGATGGCATGTTCCAGCTGTACAGGACATTGGTTTGGCCACTTTTAGAATACTGTGTGCTATTTTGATCTCACTGCGAGAGGAAGGATGTTGTGCAACTTGAAAGGGTTCAGAAAAGATTTACAAGGATGCTGCCAGGGTTGGAGGGTTTGAGCCATTCGGAGAGGCTGAATAGGCTGGGGCTATTTTCCATGGAGTGTCGGAAGCTGAGGGGTGACGTTATAGAGGTTTACAAAATCATGAGGGTAAACAGACCAGGTCTTTTCCACAGGGTAAGGGAGGTTTAAGGGGAAAGATTTAAAAGGGACCTAAGGGGCAACATTTTCACGCAGAGGGTCGTGTGTGTTTGGAATGATCTGCCAGAGGAAGTGGTGGAGGCTGGTACAATTACAACATTTAAAAGACATCTAGATGAGTGTTTGAATAGGAAGGGTTTTGAGGAATATGGGCCAAATGCTGGCAAATGGGACTAGATTGATTTAGGATATTGGGTCAGCATGGACAAGTTGGACTGAAGGGCCTGTTTCCATGCTGTACAGCTCTGTGACTCTAACTGCTGTCTTCCCCCTGTCCTGCCACTTTCAATGATCTGTGCACCTATTCACTCAGATCCTTCTGCTTCTGCACCCCTTTTAGAATTGTACCCCGATGTTTATACTGTCTTTCAACGTTCATCCTATCAAAGTGCATCACCTCATACTCTGACAACTTGGTGGAATGGGTGGATAGGTTGCAGATGAGGTTCAATGCAATGTCCTTTTGGGGTTTCACACTGTCCTCCTCACAGTTCTCAATTGTCCCAATTTAGTGTCATTTGCAAACTTGGAAATTGCCCCCTGAACAGCAAGATCCAAATCATCAATAAATATCAGGAAAAGCAAGTGTCTCCATAAGGACCCCTAGAGAACTCCACTACAAACCTTCCACCAGCCTGAGAAATATCTGCTGATGAACTCAACAGATGAGTGCACAAAGACGTCTGAACTGTCTTTTCCAGTTTTAGGTAAAGGACAATGTGTTTTTCCCCGTGTGGGTGTGTGTGTGTAAGGGGGAAGTTATCAGGGATTAGAGATTTAATTAATGATGTCATATGCTGACAGTTTATAGTTGTTTAACTGTAGCTTGAGTCTAATTACTTACAATAAATACAATAATCTTTGTACAGAAACCTAATCCATGTTTTCTATCAACCTGGGTCTGAAAATCAGGTAAATTTGAAATTTTATGAATTTAAAATATTTAAACTTTTGTGATGACCCTGGGAATAGAGGGGCTTGATTTTCAGTGTGCTACCCATTGAGTCATGACAGTAGGCTTTATTCAATATTTACACTCCATGTTTTTCCTACCAGCATACGTTTCTCTGCATTAAACTTCATCTGCACTGAACGGCACACAATCAATGGGCCTATCTCCCTTTCGTAAGCTACAATTGAATCTGCCTCCACCATCCTCTCAGACATTGTACAAAAACAAAATAGTGCGGTTGGAAAACAGAAAATGCTGGCAGAAACTGCAGGGAGAAAATCAGGAATCAAAGTTTGACATCCCTCACATTTATCAGGCTTAAATTCTATCTACCTCTGATCTTCCTGTCTGACCAATCTGTTTATGTCCGCTTGTACCCTCAGACCGTCTTTTTCATTGTCAATCACTAAATCAATCTTCATGTCATCCACAAACTTACTTATCAAGCTCCACCCAACTTTCTCATCAATATCAGTTATACATATCGTGAACAATAAGGGACTGATCCTGGTGTTGTGATACTGGTCTCCAGTCACACAGCCTCTACCACCATCCTGTCTCTCCTGCCGCTAGGCCAATTTCAAAACCAATTGCCAAGTTACCCCGGATCCCCTATGCTTTTATTTATCAGTTCCTTATGTGGGACTTTGTCAAAGGCCTTCCTAAAATCCATAATAACGACATCAACTGTACTACTGTCATTTACACACTTGGTAACTTCCTCAAATTCAGATCACCTGGACCTGATATCTTATATCGCAGCATGTTGAAACAGATGATGCATTGGTAGTCTTCTTTCACAATCCTTTGGACTCTGGAGCATGTGGTTTCTGCAGATTGGAGGGTGACAAATTTAACCCCAATGTTTAGGAAAGGAGGGAGAGAGAAAATAAAACTACAGACCTGTTAACTTAGCATCCTTTGCAGGGAAAATGCTAGAACTTACAAAATAAAATATGATAGCATGACTCTGAGAATACAGGCTAGGATCGGGCATAGACAATGTGAATTAACGACAGACGTCATGTTTAACAAACCTGTTGGAGCTTTTTTGGGCGTATAACCAGAAGAATAGATAAAGGAGACTACTAGAAGTTGTATATTTAGAAATCAAAATTAGAACACAAGAGACTGAGGAAATATTCAGGCATAGATTATAAGCTAGTTAATGAACAGTAATCAGAGAGTGGGAATAAATAGTTATTTTCAATTTAGCTGTTGAGGTATTGTAAGGATCAGTGGTTGGTCCTTCAGATAGTCACAATTTATGCAATTGATTTAGATGTAGCAATTATATGTAATAGTTCTGTTTGCAGATGACAAAAAAACTAGGTGCAAGTATGAATTGTGAGGAAGATGCAAAGATGCTTCAAGGGGATTTGGAGAGGCCACATGGGCGGATAATAAATTGACAGATGGATACCATGTGGAGAAATGTGAAGTTATCTGGTTTGCTGGGGGAAAAAAACAAAAACATAGAGTATAAGATAACAAGGTGTAGAGCTGGATGAACACAGCAGGCCGAGCAGGAAAGCCGATGTTTCGGGTCTGGACCCTTCTCTGAAGAAGGATCCAGACCTGAAACGTCAGCTTTCCTGCTCCTCTGATGCTGCTTGGCCTGCTGTGTTCATCCAGCTCTACACCTTGTTATCTCAGATTCTCCAGCATCGGCAGTTCCTACTATGTCAAAAAACATAGAGTATTTCTTTAATGGTGTTTGTCTGAAAGATAACATACAAGTACTGCAAGCATTTACAAAGGCAAGTGCTATGTTAGTTTTTACTACAAGATGGTTTGAGTAAAGGAGTAAATATGTCTTACTGCTGTTATGTAGAGCCTGGGTGAGACCATACCTGGAGGATTGTATGCAGTTTTGGTCTCCTTACTTATAAAAAGATATACTCGTACATATATTGCTCTCTGTCAATGAATATCAGACTAATTCTGTAGGTGTAGGGACTGCTTTATGAGGATCATTTAAATAGAGCGGGCCTGTATTAACTGGAGTTTAAAAGAATGAGAGTTGATCTCCTTCAAAATGTACAATTCTTACCAGGGGCTCGATAGGGTGGATGTACAAACAATATTTCTCCTGGTTGGGGAGGTATGTTTAGAACCAAGGGACACAGTCGCAGTATAAGAAGTATGCTAATTAGGACTGAGATGAGGAGGACTTTCTTCACTCGGAGGATCTTTGGAATTCATAAGACCATAAGACATAGGAGCAGAAATTAGGCCATTCGCCCCATCGAGTCTGCTCCACCATCCAATCATGGCTGATAAGTTCCTCAATCCCATTCTCCCATAACCCTTAAACCCCTTGATAATCAAGAACCTATCTATCTCAGTCTTAAATATACTCAATGACCTGGCCTCCACAGCCTTCTGTGGCAGTGAATTGCATAGACTCATCACACTCTGGCTGAAGAAGTTTCTCCTTATCTCCGTTCTAAAAGGTCTTTCCTCTACTCTAAGGCTGTGCTGTCAGGTCCTAGTCTCTCCTACCAATGGAAGCATCTTCCCAACATCCACTCTGTCCAGGCCATTCAGTATTCTGAAAGTTTCAATTAGATTCCCCCTCATCCCTTCTAAACTCCAATGAGTATAGTGCCAGAGTCCTCAAATGGACCTCATATGTTAAGCTTTCCATTCCTGCGACCATTCTCATGAACCTCCTCTGAACCTGCTCCAGGGCCAGTACATCCTTCCTGAGATATGGGGCCCAAAACTGCACACAATACTTCAAATGTGGCCAGAGAGCCGTTATTGAGTTTGTTGGAAACCGATCGATAGATTCCTACATATTGAAAACATCAAGGGAGAGGGATATGAGCTAAATGCGGAAAAATAGGATTTGATTTATATAGGATATCTGGTCGGCATGGTCAAGTTGGACCTGTTTCCGTGCTGTAACATCTCTATGATCCCGTCAATGATCTTTAATGTTCATCGCGCTGCAGTAACACAGCTTGGCCTGCGATGATGCTGTCGCGGGAGGACCAGCCGGGTCTGCAGTAACACGGCTTGGCCTGAAATGATGCTGTCGCCGGAGGACCAGCCAGGTCTGCA